AAAGCCGCGGCCATTGGCCTGCGGGATGTCCGCCCACAAACTTCCATGCAGCTTGGAGAGCGCGCAACTCTGCATTTCCTCTTCATCCTCGACCTCATCTGTCCTCTCGGGGATGCATAACCACCTCCCGGTTCCTAACCCCGCCTTTCCCGCGCTCCAGCTGCTTTTGCGCTTTATCGCCGGAGCTGCTCCGCCCGTCCCCTGGACCTCAGCCTTTCGTGCTTGCCCTCCGACTCGCTCCCTCTCTGACCACCTCTTCTGTCATTTCTCTGGTTCTCTCCACGTTCCTTCCTTGATTTGTTGGGGGGGGGGGGGGGGCGGGGGGCTTGAGAAGGGCACCGGGTGTTAGTCCAGGGGGGTCAGACCAGGCCTGGGTTCAGCAGCCTCAGTATTGGAATCTAAATAGGAAAAAATTCAGAGCCGTAAGAGAACATTTATCAAGTCACAGAGTCGTAGAGGAGGGAATTCATAGAAGAAAAGGGCTTAGGAGATAAGTTATAGAGGCAAAGGAAGGGCCCTTAGAGCTTAGACGTGACCAAGGTCAAGGCCACCTGTCTGGGGAGAGGGGGAGAGGGAGGGAAAGGCAGGACTGCTCCCAGGAGAGCATGCAAGGTCCTCCTTCCGAAGGGCTCTAAGGGAGGAGGTTTCAGGGGAGGATCCAGGGGGGATCTCAGTAGAACAGGCAGCAGCTTTCCAGCGTGTCCGCCCAGGGCTGGGTCTCCACTGACGGACTGGCAGGCACCAGCTGGGTCATTAGTCAGCGCAGCTGGTCCTGAGGTCAGCCTGGGCTTGTTGTTGCTTTTATCTGGTTTTGCTGCCTTTCTAGGCCTGGAGCTGAAATACAACTGAGGCCCAGATGTTATCCCGAGGCAAGAAAGGTCCGAGGGTCCAAACCACATGGCCAGCAATATGCCAGTAGCTAGGGGAGAAAAGGCACCTGGGGACGGGGTCCCACCCTACAGTGGTCCTTTGCTGGGCACCCAGGGCTTTATGCCCCAGTGACTTCTGTGCTTGGCCCAGTGACTTCTGTGCTCATGTATGTCTAGCTGCCTGCCACAGATTCAGTAAAGTCTTGGAAACGGTTTTGCTGGTACTAATTTCCTTCCTCACAGGGCTGTTACATGAATAAAATACGAGTTTAGGTGAAAGCACCTTGAAAAACATTAAATGCTAGAAAAAGTCAAGGTAGATCATTTTGATCTTGCAGTTTTGTTCTTATTCTCCCAATGCTGTATCTTCATAAGTCTGACTATTCTTTAAGCTAAAATTCCTGACAACCACTGAGCTTTTATAAAGTCTGTGACCTTTTTTGTGCCGTGCAAAGTCAAGGTTGTAGTTTAGAACAAGATCCATAATTGCAACTCTTGTTCTTACTTTTGTGATCTCTTCTTCCTTCTACAGTGATTCCCTGCACCCCCCCCCCTTTTTTTCCCAGATAATGAGGAAACTATATTATACTTTCTCAAAAAATTATTTCAATGACTTACCACTACAGATTTCTGGAGCAATCTCTGATGTTACTATATTGCAGGGGTGGGCAAACTTTTTGACTCGAGGGCCACAATGGGTTCTTAAACTGGACGGGAGGGCCGGAACAAAAGCATGGATGGAGTGTTTGTGTGAACTAATATAAATTCAAAGTAAACAGCATTACATAAAAGGGTACGGTCTTTTTTTTTTTAGTTTTATTCATTTCAAACAGGCCGGATCTGGCCCGCGGGCCATAGTTTGCCCACGGCTGCTATATTGGCTTAATGATAAACATGTTAGCAAATTGTTTTGAGTTTTCACTGTGGAACCCAAATGAAATGACACTGAAAATGTTGGTCCAGTCCAACCAGTTTTACTCTTAATCACGTTAAACATCTTCTGTATTAGTGACTATCTAACTTAAGTGTGATGAGCTTGTTTAAAAATGAAAGCTGCAGGGTCACTCTCCACAGATTCATTAGAGAGCAGAGTGATGGAATGGGGTAGTAGTGACTTAAATAACACATAAACTTGCTTCAGGGAATAAGACACTTATGAATAATCAAGCGAATAAAACATATTGGACCAAGCAAACTTTTCTTTTACATAATAATTTGAATTGTGAAGAGTTTGAAATGTACCAGTTTTTCTGATGGTACATTAATACCATTAGAACTTGTATGCTGAATACTAACTTACCTACAGCATGTATGGTTCCCACAACTGCCACTTTTTTTATATAACAATCTGTTTCTTGTCAGTTTCAGTAATATTGCAAAAAGGTTACACTTGGACAAGATTGCTAACTAAACACCATAGTGCATGCTAATAACTTTTACTTGTGTAGTAAGTACAAGGTTGGTAAGAACAAGGCTATTCTTTGCTGCGTTCATAAAACGGAACGTAGAAGAGGTTAACAGAAAAAAAAAAGATTCATTATTTTCTTTGTCAAAGAAATTTTATGTAGCCTCTTGGAAAGAAAGGAGCAAAACAGAATAATTTTGATATTTTAAAATGGCCGGGAATGCTGAATTTAACTACATTAAAAATACATCAGTAGAATTTCTTCCTTCCTCCTCCACAGGAATTAACAATATATTTCTCACAGACTTCTGTTAGCT